TAAAGCTCACTCTTTTTTAAAATATTTAATAAAATCTTCATTTTTAAGTAATGATCTATTAAATTTCCCGTTTTTAATTGGCGGAGTGACCTTCTTATTTACTAAAGTTAAAGACACATGATCGCTGACAGCTATCGAGTGTATCTCAGTGTCTGAAATGTCACTCAACAGTGAGCTGCTGACTAGGAAAAAATCCAGAGTAAGAGTGATGGATATGTGAGAAGAAAGTATATTGCCTATGGTTGGGGTGAAGAGAACGGCACGCGCCATTCGCTCATGTATTGTTTAACTATATTTGCGGACTGACAATTGTGCTGAGCTCCTGCTGTATTGAGCCTGTCCATTTCTTAATTTAGCCCAAACTTGAGGTCTCCCCATGTCTATGTGTGCCGTGAGGCCGTAGTGGATGTGCTGGCACTGAGTGCAAATGTACCTGATCATGCCGTGCAGACGTGTAAAGGTCAAGGGTGCTCTGTGTGTAACTGACTAGGAAAACAGCCGATCGGTGCAGTGAGAGAAGGGAGAAGAAAGAAAAACATGCAAAAGCGATGCAGGAGGGATGAAAGGGAACAGGACTTTGTGTCGCTCCATGATCTCTCTGGGAAACTGGTCGTTTACACTAAAGTCCATTCCTTGTAGCTCCCTGCTGTAACTCGCCAACGGCTCCTTCTGCTGAAATGTTACCGAATTTGGCCACAAAAGGACGCAGATTCCAGACACCAGGCCCATGTTCTTCACGGTGTCCTCCGGAAGTTTCGGGTGGGTCTTATAGTAACTTCTGTGTCCTCTCAAGCAGACTCTGGGATACCTGAAAACACCAGGTTATCTCTCATGCTACGGGTCTGAAGACCGATGGCAGTCTTTTTAATTTTTAATTTTCTTAACTGAGCTGGGTGACTTTCTCACTTAGAGACTTGACCGAGTCTGTAGCATGGTGTTTTCAGTGACATTTCCACCTGCTGCTGGCTGAATTCTAAAGATTACCTCAGGGATTGGAATTCACGGTTTAGAATCTCGATCAGAGACATGCTCATGTAGAAGCTGGACAGTCGCTTATCGGTTGAATCCAGGACGTCTGCAAAGTCCTTTACCGGTCGACGACGTTGTTCCGGGGCAATCTGCGACTTCTTTGGATAGATATCTTTTCTGCTTTTACTCCTATGTTTTTGGCCTTTTTTTTTTTAAATTAAGAAACGAGTGTTGTTTTTTTTTCTCTTTTCACTACACTTTTAAAAATGCATAGAAGCTTCTAAGCGAAATATGGTGGGTGACTCGACAGTGAGCAATGCCAGCTAACACAGAAATGAACTTTAGTAATCACTAACTTCAATGAGCGATTAGCAGCACAGATTCAACAAAAACTTCTCATGAGAACAGCAAAGCAAACACCGTCATAGTGCTTTGAAACTTGATGTGATGTGCAAGGGGCGGAGCTTGCTGAGAAACCAAGGGCATGCATACTAACTGTTTAATGACTTTTAATTAAAAAATATAGCTCTAAAGTGCTTTATCTAGTCGGTAAAAATTGAAAACTGCTATATAAACATCAGTACATTATTATTTATTATGACCTGAAATTAGTTCATCTGGGGAAAGAAACTGGTTGAATACCTCACGACACAAGAGACGTTTCTTTCTCTATCCAGGTGGACTACTTTACCTTCCCGATGGTCATTACACACATATTTACTGCATAGTAATTCATTATTACATAACCTCGATATAAAACAGACATGAGGCCAGCAATACCAAACAAATAAAGATGCAATGAAGCAGTTTATTGGCTTCAGCATTGACCGGTGCCAAAACAACAAACAAACATCTTGTGTTCCTTATTCCCACCTAACCTAAAATAAAAGGCAAAAAAAGAGACAAATTTCTAACCTATGCTCCTAACTAATAAATAGGAGAAAAAGGATTTCAACAATTCCTCACAATTGCACACTTTTCCTGTAATGACAGCAATCTATGCTAGGATCTGCTGGGAACTACTGATTAATCTTTACAGCTTTGGTAATAATTAGGGATCCAACCAAACAGAATTGCTGTTTAGTTAAATTCTAGTGGGATTACTGGGGATAAAAGGTTTTGGATTCATTTACGTGACAATTTCCATATTCTTTTGTCTTGCATATTGAGATGATGATTTTTGAAAAATTACTTCATCTTGGAGAAAAAATCACATCACATCTCTCATCACAAAATATCCTGATTTGAGAGTTAAGCAGTCTCAGACTGCCAGCTCTTATTCATTTTGTAATTATGGAACTTATAAAACAAAACTGTCAGAGTTAGAAATATCAAGTTGTAAAGGTTGACTTTACAAAGACATCTGGCAGGAAAACCAGCCATTTTCCCCACTATTCTTAAAGTTGCTGTAATGTTTTTTTCCTAATAATTTCTGATGATTTTTCTATTGGTTTTCGAACCAATTAATCCACTAATCATTGTGGCTTTTAAGATAATGCTGATTATTGTGGTAGTGACCCCAGTGATCACATTGGGACAGACCAAGAACCTTACTCCATTAGAGAGATAAGTGATGATGTGAGAGCTGCAGGGGCACAGTTCGGCGAATGAATTTCCTGCTCTGTGAGCTGTTGGCGTCACCTGATCCTTCAGCTAAATGAGTTAAGCTGCACTTTGCTAATAGTGTTAGAAAAGACAAAGAGGGTGAGGCAGAGGAAAGTTGCCTTCCTCTCTGCAACAATAGCTGCTTTTATGCGCCTCCCAAATTTAATCAGGATTACATTTTGTTGCTACTTTCAGGTGATATTGGAATAATCAGTGCTATGATTCAACTTAAGTCACTGAACTCTGAAGTGGCCCCCTAAAGTGCCTTAAATAATTATAATGCCATGTGTTACAGGTTTGTGAAATGTAGTCCCTAGGTAAGAGATTTTTGCCATTGAAAAGTCTACTTATTTCCCCTTAAATGGTGGCACGTTTGTAAAGAAAACGCATTTTGGGGTTGAACAGCAGAGTTGAGTATGTGGATTGCACCCTTGAAAAAATTGCCAAATCTTCTTTGCCAATGCCAAACAGCTTATTCTGCTATTTACTTTTGTTCTGTCTCCATTGTGTGTCTGCATTTAAATAAACCATACAAGTAACAGATTAAAAAAGCAGTCGTGTTTGTGGTAATGAATCATTTCAGTTCAATTCAATTTTTTTATATAGCACTAAATCACAGCAACAGTTCCCTCAACGCACTTTATATTGCAAGCTCCACAATAATACAAGATCTGTGATCATCAATATGTGATTTGTGACGGCTTGGGGTTTTTTTGCAGCACAGTAGCTCTACATTGAATCATTAGTTTCTTTTAGTGATAAAGAAGAAGCAGTATCTCTAGACTTTCCTTCAGTCTGCATAGATCCTATTCACTAAAAGCAAGAAAAGCCTGTAGCCTGAAATGCAAAACTAAGATCAACTGAAGGCTTTTCAGGACGTTTTTAGGACACCCTGATAGTAATGAACTACAGTAGTCCAGCCTAGAAGTAATAAATGCATGAGCTAGTTTTTAAGACAGGATGTTTCTAATTCTTGAGATGTTGACAAATTCAAGAAAGCAGTCTTACATATTTGTTTAATACGTGTATATAAAGGACATATCCTGGTCAAAAACAATTCCAAGATTCCTCACAGTGTTACTGGAGGCCAGGGTAATGCTATCCACGGTAAGCATCTGACTAGAAACTACATTTCTAAGATTTTTGGGGCAGAGTACAATAATCTCAGTTTTATCTTAATATAAAAGCAGAAAGTTAGAGGTTATTCAGGTCTTTATGTCTTTAAGACATTCATTCAGTTTAACTAGGTGCTGTTTTAATCTGGCTTCATGGATAGATAAAGTTAGGTGTCATCTGCATAGCAGTGAAAATCATATGATCATATCGTATCATATGCCCTAGGGGAGCATGTATAATGTAGACAGAGTAGACAAGGCGGAAGAATTAAATCTCCTCCTTGCATCACTGAATCCAACAACAGTTTTTGGTGGATTTGCCATAAAACTGATCACCTGTGAAAAACCACAAAAAAAACCCTGAGGTCTCCACACTTCACTTGTCTCTTGTCTATCTTTAATGGCATGGCAAAAAATGCATTGAGCCTTGTATTTCTCTAAACTACTTGCAGTAGGAAAAATTAATCCTAAGGCTCTCTTTGATACAGTCAACAACATAATTTCTCCTCGAGAGTGCCTTGGGTGTCTCCCAGGACACTGATAGGGACCTAAACCTGGATGTTTTTTGGGGGGGTTTTTTCAAGTTTTTATATTGGATACTGAAATAATGAAGCGTGAATGATTAGCAAATTAATTGGTTTGTTATTTGTTTAACAAAATATTTAATTTAAAAATGAAATATTACCTTCTTTTTTTTTAAATTATTAATTAAAAAAAACTTGTTTGCTCACTGTTTAATAACAAAATGTTCTGATACAGTTATTAAAACTTTACTTTTAAATCCTCAGTAAAAGTATTTCGAGTATTCAAAATACTGTCCCTAAATATGTTGATTTTGAAATCTTCAGACTGTCCCCATTGTGTTACAGATTAAAGTTCGAAAACGCAAAGACTAAAAAAGAGTGGTCTGTTTTGTTTGTTGACTTGTTTATGGCAAATTTTACACAAAAAAAAAATCACTTAACTATAACTCACAGTTTACTGAGCCTGATTTAGACAACCATTTCAATGTTTTTTTTATGTGTGTATGGAACAAACATTTGTAACTATTTAATACTGAACATCTAAAAGAATGTTCAGATTTTAAAATGCAAGCCCACAAAACAATCTCCAAAAGTTGATTAAATCAGTAAATAAACAAATAAAGTTTGCTGTCTAACTGAACGCTTAAATGAGGCTTGCAGGTTGTAGTTTCACCGTTACAGCTCTGTAAGTCACGTATTATTCATGTCACATAAACATGTATTCTGGATTCTGTGTTCTTATCTTCTTAAATAAAAAAGAAATGACCAAATGTATTCTCTTCCTCAGGTTTTTTCAGGGTGATTACACAGTGGAGGTGGCAATCAATGACTACCTGGATATCTACTGTCCTCACTACGAGGCGGCGGAGTCAGCCGTGCACATGGAGCATTATGTGTTGTACATGGTGAACTATGACGGATACATGTCCTGCGACCACCACAGAAAAGGTTTTAAACGCTGGGAATGTAACAGACCACAGAGCCCCAATGGGCCACTCAAGTTCTCTGAGAAGTTTCAGCTCTTTACACCCTTTAGCCTGGGCTTCGAGTTCAGGCCAGGACATGAGTACTACTATATCTGTGAGTACATAGCAGTGTACATACTGTCTGTTTTATATTGCTAAACTGAATATTACTACTTACCGTGTTATTAGGGTCAGGCTCGCTGTGCAAGCTAGATTGATTCCTGCTTGAAGTTGCCAATTTGAAACTATTTTGGAGTCTGAATTATTATTTTTCTGGTCAGATCAGCTGGAATGATTTACTATCAGTGACAGGAAGAATCAGCTGTTAGCTTTGGGGGGAAAAGGCAACTCTCAAAAATATTAATGTAGACACAGATTTTCCTTCCTGTCACACAAAGAATCATACATCCAGTCTTAGTCATGTAACAGACTGGTTGCTACACTGAGTAAATCAGAGCTTCCCAAAGTGTGGGGCCCGCCCCCTAGGGGGGGCACAGAGCCATTGCAGGGGGGGCGAGGTATGAAAAGGGGAAGGGAAAAAAAAAGGCTTGGACACTGCTAGCACGGGGCGCCCACACAAACGCAAAGCAGCAGATGAAGCATCGCTGAATATGTTTGCAAACCAACTTCATTCTAAGCCAAAGACTAGAAAATATGGTGAAGCATGTCTGCCCTTTGGCTTCACCTGCACAAGTGCCGAGGTAGGTCTCCTCATCAGAACTGGTTTTCCCTTCGTCAGGAGCACGCGCTGGGCTCTCCAAATCACGGGACAACCGTATCCCACATTCTTGATCTTTAGTTCACAAACACTTGTTGTAATGACTAACTACTCCTGACATTTTGGAGATGTTAGCTCTTTATACAGTAAAGTTACAGCAGGATACAAATAACATCAGGCTCATCCTGCCACAATTTGTTCCCCCTGTCTAAATCACAGACAAACAGTATCCCACAGTTTTTCATGTTTTTGAACCTATTTTGCACAGAGAGGCATTTTTTGATTTGATTGCAATGTTGAAAATTATTACACAGGAAAAAAACAACTACACGCAAAATAATCACACCGTGACGCCTCTGCCTTTCTAAATAGAGGGACAGTAACTGCGTGTGTATATGTAAGGTGTAAAACCAGAAGATAGTCATATTAACAGTATTTTGTCTCTATCTGCCATTCTGCAATTCATCTCATGTAAACAATAACGTAGCGCACAGCGTAATGTGAAAAAAAGGCACATACCTTTGACGTTGCGTGACGAACTCTGTGTTCCTCGTCCACACATAAACGCAAAAAAGGAGTTTTAAGAAATCTCAGTTTTCGGTGATTCGAAATGCCGTTTACGTGTGGACGAAACAGCTGCGTTTTCAAAAATACCCGTGTAGGTGTGGACGTAGCATAAAAGAGTTAGTAGTTTATTTTATTACTACCTGTAATTTATTGCAGATTACTTTTATTTGCTTAATTATTTACTAAATGTTTGAGGTGTGAAATAAACACCTTTAGCTCTTCATTAAACAAGAGCTCAGGAACATGTAACAATCTAGGCCAACATTTCCTTTAGCTGGATAAGATGGAGGTCTCAGAGATAGTCTAGAGATACAGTGGGGTTATTCTTAATTGCCAGTGTTGGTGTCGATACTATCAATGTTTGGATTGATCTGCCCACCTCTACTTTGTAGTGGCTGAGGCAACATGCTAGTAATGTTACTGCTGACACACTTCCAACAGTGCAGCCACACTAATAGTAATAAAAATACTATTTTTTTTTTTTTTTTTTTTTAGAAAAGAATAAAACTAAATCTATAGCGGAGTAAATATCCTAAACATATGACCTTACCTAAAAATAAATTGCCTTTATGTTGTGGCAGCAGACCAATGTCAACAAGCTAGTTTTTTCCCACATGTTGCATTACCTTGTGTAATTGCACTACCACTTACTACAGACATTGGTGAAAGTTTGTAATGGTCTGTTAATTTAGGTTTGAAACTATACAAACAATCTTAACTGACATTATATTTAATTATAAATAATTTGATTATGACATCATTTGATGTTAGCTAACATTAGCTAACTGAGCCTTACGTATGTTTCATGTTGCTCGATAACCAGCCGACATACCAGTAAAAAAAAGTTTGAAAAAAGCAAAATCCCTCCATGGAAAGGTTGTTGTCACACTACACCACACACACACCATTAGCTCTATGACGCCTCCATATTCAACATTAGGAAAACTCAGCGGATACAATTTCCACTACTGGGCAGGGTTACAACAATGCAAATAAATAATCCACACAAGCACTTTGAAAATAGTTCAACAATCTTAGAACAATTTTTGTGATGTATTGCTTCTGCTTGTGGGATTGCTCAAAAGCCAAATAAAACCCAGAATGACAACAGAAAAGCTTTAAAAAGGAATTAATATACTCTGGAATGGTGGTGCTCTGCTCTCCAGTGCTGCAACACTTGTAACCAGAATATCATGGAAAGGTCATCTTAAGAAAACCTTTTCTCTATTGTCACTGGAGAATTCAGCATGAGAGGTTTGCAAATAAACATCTAAACAAAGCAGTTTCCTTTGGAAACAAGTACTTCAAAGTTAAAATATCAAAAGTATTTAGAATCTGCACATGCCAACGAGATTGACCAAAAACGTTTTCATGACCTATGACTGGAGAAGCCCCTGGGGGATTTGGAGCAGTCTTCTTACTAACCAAATCTGGGGTAAAATGTTTGTAGTTTACCTCATGACCATAAATTCTCCATGATTTTCTATGGCCTTTGTTTCCTTTGTAGCATCACCGCATCCAAACTTGGGTAGGAAGCCTTGTCTGAAGCTAAAAATCTACGTCAAGCCAACAAGTAAGTTTCTTTCCTTTTTTCTATTTCATATTGTTGTATAATTTTACACCTCTTCTCCCTGATTTGACTATGAAAGTAAAGAGATTTCTCGATTACAATCACAACACACCATTGAGTTATTAGAAAATATTACTGAAGTACTACTTGAACTCAGTGGAATATTAACCGAACTCAAGTTTCATATTTAAAATGCAACATGTACACAAGCTCACTAAGCTGCTATTCTTTCCTCTAAAGCTCAAGATGTGAAACAATTTAAAGTGCTTTAAATTCTGAAATTGTGGGGGGTAGGGGTCGTAACAGGGACTACGCTACGTCGGACTGGACCAGCTACAGGGGCCTGGCTAGCTACGGGTTTTTCAAGGGTGCAAAGCCTGCTCTCCAACTTATTGATCCTGGCCTCCAGAGCTGCAAACAGACTACATTTATTACAAGTATCGTTGTCACTAAGTATCGTTGTCAGAGAAGTAACGAAATATCTGACACAATGAGCAGGGAAGTGCAGGAGGGACAGGTGAAGAGGCACAGGGAGTAAATACTGTCAATATAATTAGTGAGTGAATCAATAGTGAGTGAGTGAGCACTTTGGATATTGCATATGAAGATTACACTATGAAATAAGACCTTATGTATAAATTTTTAATCAAATTGGCTACACAGATAAGCTACACAAAAACAGCACTGTGCCTTGTAACAGGAACAGAAAGTGATACTCTACCAACACCAAGGCATATAGAGCCGAAACCAAACAAGGAAGTGCTTAACTACCTGGTATAACTCAAATGTGCATCTTAAAGCAAATAATCTGTAAGGTGGAGAGGAAAGGCCATCTCACTAATTAGGAAAATCTTGATTTGGAAAAAGCGTTAATTTCTCTGTTTTTGAAAATGCCCTCCATAAAACTACAGCATCTTACCATTCATCAGTGGAAAACAAATAAGAGCCCCAGGTTTCTCTTCAAAGTGAGAGCTCTGATGAGCCAAACATTCCTTTGATCTGAACTAGTAATGACTTTATGAATTTCTTCACAAAAAATGTAATTATTAGAGAAAAAAAAATCAGGGCCATCTCATATATATATTATTATATACAGTAACTTTCAAAACTACTGATTTATTTTTTTCAGTATTTACTTTATCCAAACAATCAGTGTGTCTATTACACTCCAGTCCTACAAAACCACTCAAAGACGCCCTAATTAAGGCTTTGATCTTAAATATAATCAGTCTTTTGCTATCAATGGGCTGAACACAACAGGCCTTTAATGTGCCAGTAATTAACCCCTTACTTAAAAAGCTATCACTTCACCTAGCTTCTCTAAGCTAATTATAGGCTAATCTCTAACATTTCTTTTAACTAAAAATAATTGAAAGAGTAATTGTACAACAGCTAGACTGGACAGGCCCCGTCCCCACCCTGATGTACAAAAATTGGATGGATGGAGGTCTGTGAATAAATTAAAACATTTTGTGATATGTTTACTTGCAGCTCATATTAATTAATGTTGTTCTGATGTTAACTCATTTTCAGATGATTCAGTGTACGACTCTGCGGAGCCCTTCCTGACTGACGATACCACTGGTGGCTGCAGCCTTGCTTTGCCGTCTGCCATGTTGCTCACCCTCCTTCTCATACTCCTCATCTCCTATTCATAGCAGCTTTCTGAGTCAGACCAAGCACCGCCCCATCGCCGCTACCACTCTGAAGAAAACTTGATGAAGGAAACTAATGTAGCTTCCTCTTACTGAACTTTGGCCTTTACCTCAATAATACTCAAAGGCTCGAACAATCAGAGGAGGCAAGAACAGTGGTGGGGGGAGCTTGAGGCTGCATATCAACTCTGTGTGGAATTTCTGGGATCATCCCTGCTCTTCTTTTAATGTTTCTGTCAAGCTGTCATATAAAATTGTGTTACAGATCCACAAGTCAAGACATTAAAGGATCTCATGTTAACATTTCCAGGTTCCATCTCTGAATATTGGTGCATAATGCTTTATTTTTAAAAACTGTGAGGATGATTTATTTTATTTACATCCAACAGCCGCTTCCTGAGTTTTAGACATTGACTGAGATTTATATCCTGCTTAAGACACTAGAGATCTTGTCCTGGTGCATGGTCAATAGTCCAAGTAAATACAAGGTCATAATGACCAAAACTAGCAATATTGCCTTACAATGAGCCATGACCTCAGTTTCACAATCAACCATTGATCAGTGGCATAAGTATCAATCACAGCTAGCTAGGAAAAGGCTGCGAAGAGAGCAATACAAGATGGTGAAAGATGTGCTCTTAGGTCTCTTCCTCAGTTGAGCAATGGTCGCTCACTTTTCACTTTTCAATGTCCTTGACTACCTGCTCAAGTCTTCCTCTTTGTCCAGGATGTGCTTATCCTAGTCTGTCTAGTTCAATGAAACTGTGCACCTACCCTTGTTGCCACAATGGTGATTCTATCTTTACAGAATAACACGTGTGTCTTCCTCTTCTTCATGCTTGTATTGGATGTTGGGGGCTTTGCATTTCTGAGGCAGGCTGCAACTTTCATCTGAAGTTGCCAACCACAAAAATTGTTTCACGATGCATATTTTATCCCTGTTATTAGTTACACTAGCTGGATTTGTCTTGCCGTGAAAGCTCAACTCTTTCTTAAGAATGGCTTTCCCTGCTTGAGAGAGTTGTCTGTCAGATACATTCATCACCCACTAGTCAAAGTGCTTGGTGTGAATTTAGCATACATCTGTCCGTTTCCACCATGCAGCAAGTAGCTCAGACTTCTGCTGTCTCATCTGTGACTATTCATGCTGTTCTCATCTAGAAGCTATCGGTTCCTGGGTTTTTGCCTATTGTGCCTAACTTTTATATGAATGAAATGGAGAAGAGCTCTGATATCCTATCTTGGAACACCGCTGAGCCTTTGGTCCAGATATAAATGACAATCTGGTGGACAAACACATCAAGTTCATCAGTCTAGATATAAAAACGTTACAGGCAATCATTGTCAGACTGTGAAATTACTAATCCATACCCATGCATACCGATCAGTAGTACAAGTTTGACTTTGTTTATCCGCATGACCACAATGTGGGTGTCATCAGGACAGTACAACAGAGCAAACATTTTCCCATACACACAGTGGCCAGGGAAGCTGAAGAACATCATAACAAAGAGACCCTGCATAGATTTGTTTTTTGTGATTTGGTGCTATGGAATAAAATATAACTGAATTGATTGTCCCAGTGGAGCATTTGTCAAAGCTGGCAACATGCTGACCAAACAAAAACCACTGATGAACTGGTGTTTGTTAGGATTGGACAGCTTTTCTTCTTATTTATTTATTTATTTATTTTCACCATTGTGAACTCAAACTCTAAAACATAATACACCAAAAACGAAACAACCATTGCTGAACCAAGGAGGGGGCATAAGAGTATGTCTTTCACCATGTTAAAACGCTGTGATTGCAGCAATTTCCCAGCTCTGTGATAGTACTCGTCTGCTTTGATCAGTGGTAATGGCAGTTTTCATATTAATGGTGGTACTTGTTTTTGTCATGTAACTGCACTGTTTAAAGGTTGGGGAAGCCTACAGTTAGCGCAGACTGAAGAAGTCATTTGTGTTGCAAGGTTTCTTCCACTGAAAACCATGTGTAGAGATCAAAAGAATAAAGTTCCTGGCACTAAATATCTTAATATCTTGCTGTGCAAGTGGTTTCAAGCTAAAGTTGATAATTGAAGGATTTTAGACAAGACACTGGATAAAAATCTTGGCAATATAGGTAACTTTCTTATTATTTAAATGAATACTTTCATCTGTAATTAAAGTCATGGTATTGGTTACAGACAGGCCCCTTATTTTCCCAGTAAACTCCCAAAAACCAAGCTATTAACTTAGCTGTAAATTATTAGTGTATTTGCAACAATGACCCAGACAATTACTAACTACAAACTGTAAAAGAAATTGTTTAAGTGGTGATAACTACACTGTGAAGTATTGGCTTGTTATATTTAATGCAATTACATTTTTTTTTGTTGGGACAGTATGCAATTTTACCTTCCCTGCGAGCAGCACCATGTGACAGCAGGGAAGACAGAATCCCTTTAAAGTAGAAGAGCAGTCTTGCAAAAGCTAGATATAGGGAGGGGCAGCTTTCTGCCATAACTTTATCTTTCAAGAAAAGTGTACATTTATTATGAAAACTTACTGTGAAGTAACGTTAGATAGGGACTCATTTTCAGGAACGTATATGAGCAAAATAAGTTACCTTAAAATCAACCAAAATGTTATTGTATTTTTTCTACTGTTCTAGGCAGCTGTTGGTTTCTGCACTTGTTGGTAACAAAATTAAACATATTATATAACAGATTTACACATTTTAATTTCTGTGTTAAAATGTACAACTGCAGGTACAGTATGGAACATTTCCAAAATAAAATGCTCAAGAAATTACTAGACTAGTGGTACATATCTAAAATTAGAAACATTCTTTCTCAGAGTGATGCTGAAAGTCACGTTTATCACTTCTGTGCTGGACTACTGTAATTATCAGCATTTCCTAAAAACTCCCTGAGGAGCTTTTAGTTGATCCAAAATGCTACAGCAAGAGTACTGACAGGGACTAGACAGAGAGGGTATTTCGCCCATACTGGCTGCTCTTCATTGGCTCCCTGTTAAATCCAGAATCAAATTTAAAATCCTTCTCATCACATACAAGGTCTTGTATAATTAGTCCCCATTTTATTTTAAAGAGCTTTACAGGACTATATCACCCCAGCAGAGCACTTCACTCTCAGACTGTGGGCTTATTTGTAGTTCCCAGGTGCTTGCTCATAGGCGGTTGACTGATTGTTGGGTTTATTCTGGGGTTGGTTATTGTTATTCTAGGGCAGGGGTGTCGAACTCCAGGCCTCGAGGGCCGGTGTCCCGCAGGTTTTAGATATCACCCCGTTTCAACACACCTGAATCAAATTATTAGTTCATTAACAGGCTTCTGGAGAACTTCAAGACATGTTGAGGTGATAATTTAGCCATTTAAATCAGCTGTGTTGGATCAAGGACACATCTAAAACATGCAGGACACCGGCCCTTGAGGCCTGGAGTTCGACACCTGTGTTCTAGGGTCTTTACCTTACAATATATTACAACAAATTTATTAAAGACATATATACACTACCAGTCAAAAGTTTGGACACACCTTGTCATTTAATGGTTTTTCTTTATTTTTGCAAACACATACTGAAGACATCTATTATATGAGTCAAGCTATATGGAATTATGCAGCAACGAAAAAAGGATAAATAACTTTATACATATCTTATGTTTTAGAATTCTGAAAGTAGCTACCATTTGCTTTGCTGACAGGGCTGCGATAACCTGAAATGGTTGAAATGAAATGGACCATCAGTTGTGCTGTGCAGAAGTCAGGTTGGCACAGAGCTGACAGCCCTAATTTGACAACTGTTAGAATTCATATGGCAAGGACTAGTAAAGAGAAACAACAGTTCATCATTACTTTAAGAACTGACAGTCCGTCAGTCTGGAAAATTTTGAATGTGTTCCCAAGTGCAGTCACAAAAACCATCAAGCACTATGATGAAACTGGCTCACATGTGGACCGCCTCAGGAAAGGAAGACAAAGAGTCACCTCTGCTGCTGAGGATAAATATATCCAAGTCACCAGCTTCAAAAATCACAAGTTAACAGCACCTCAGATTAGAGCCCAGATAAATGCCACACAGAGTTCGAGTACCAGACACATCTCTACATCAACTGTTCAGAGGAGACTGCATGAATCTGCTATTTGCCCTTTATGGTCAAATAGCTGCTAAAAAGCCACTACTAAGGAAAAGCACCAAGCAAAAGAGAGTTGTTTGGGCCAATACAAGGAATGGACATTAGACCAGTGGAAATCTCTGCTTTGGTCTGATGAGTCCAAATTTGAGATGTTTGGTTCCACCCTCCCTATCTTTGTGCAATGCAGAAAAGGTGAACTGATGGTCTCTACATGCATGGTTCCCACCATGAAGCATGGAGGAGGAGGTGTGGTGGTGTAGGAGTGCTTTGCTGGTTGAGGATTTATTCAAAACTGAAGGCACACTGAACCAGTATGGCTACCACAGCATCCTCCAGTGACATACCATCCCATCCAGTTTTTGTTTAGTTGGACCATCATTTATTTTTCAACATGACAGTGACCCCAAACACACCTCCAGGCTGTGTAAGGCCTCTCTGACCAAGAAGGAGAGTGATGGAGTGCTGCGCCAGATGGCCTGGCCTCCGCAGTCACCTGACCTAAACGCAGTTGAGATGGTTTGTGATAAGATGGACTGCAGAGTGAAGGCAAAGGGGCTAACAAGTGCTCAGCATCTCTGTGAACTCCTTCAAGACTGTTGGAAAACCATTTCAGGTGACTTCCTCATGAAGAGTGGCTATTTTTAAGAATCTAAAATATAAAACATGTTTTGAGTTATTTCACACTTTTTTGTTTACTACATAATTTCATGTATTCACTGATAGTTTTGATGCCTTCAGTGAGAATCTACAAAGTAAATAAACATGATAATAAAGAAAAAACATTAAATGTGAAGATGTGTCTAAACTTTTGACTGGTAGTTTATTTACACATACTTGTATATAGTCCCATAGTTTTCAGTGAATGTAAACTGACATCCACTGTGAACTAATAGACAAACCAGGTTAAGCCATGAAGTCCAAAGAATTGTCTGTAGATCTCTGAGACAGGATTGTATTGACAAACAGATCAGGGAAGGGTACAGAAAAACATCTGCAGCATTGAAGGTCACCAGGACTCTTCCCAGAGCTGGCTGCTCAGCCAATCTGAACAGTATTATTGCCAAAAGGCACTATCCAGGTAACTCTCAGAGCATGATAAACAAAATTCTCTGCTCTGATGAAACAAAGATTGAAATCTTTGGCTTGAATGCAAAGTGTCATGTCT